GGGAAGGGAAGGGAAGGGAAGGGAAGGGAAGGGAAGGGAAGGGAAGGGAGGAAGGGAAAGATCATACAACTTCTTTGAGTTGTTTGGGATAAAGATTCTAGAAGGACTTCTCACATCCTAGATTCATGAAAGGTTATATCTAAGTTATTAAAAAAAATGACGATCTATTTTATTGCTATCAATGGACCAATTATACTCTTTTGCTATCCTAGTACAGATCATGACTTTTGTTTTCTAATAATTATTGAACAGTTTCTGTCTTCACAATAGTGTGTGAGTGCTTTTAGAGCTTTCCTCAATCCTATGACCAAATGAAAAGATGACCATATCATCAGCATAAAGAGGAATTGGGATATGCTGTTAGGCCAAATCTCAGCTGTTAGTGTCTTCTACTTTTTTTTTTTTTTGTTGGTTACATTGACTGGACTCTGACCTTAATAAACAGTAAATGAATGTAGGCAATTTCATTTTCACAAAACTTTTAAAAAGAGGCCTATAACTAGTTTTTTAAAACATCAGCAAATTGCTTTAAGAAAGATCAGAGATAATTTGCCCCCCGTTTTTAATGGCTCCCATGAATGTTAGGATCCAAACGTTAAGATGATGGCTGAAAGGCAAATATTTAGATTTGAAGGATGTTCTGACAGTCAGATATATGCATATATTTGGAGGTTTTGTCGGTGCCAAGAAAGTTGACAGTGATCCTTTAAATTCCCACATTACAGTATCCACAGTGTGTTTGAAGCTAGATATAGTTATGTGAGCCTTGAGTCATATGTCTCTTATTCCAAGTTCTTCACAAAAAAAGTTTCACATAATGTGGCAAAAATTATTTAAATAGTTATTTGATGTTCTGAGTTAGAGGAGTTAGTTTCCTAATTATTCAGTGCCAAGAATAGTCAGTCCTACTAGAACTCCAAACCTCCAATCACATCCTATGGAGAGGATTGGGTAGATGTGTATATTTTAATTCAGATATTAGTGACAGATGTGATAAGTAGATGAAGCATGAGACATTCAGGTAGTTGTTTCAAGTGTTGGTGTGAAGCTTCAAGTTAATAGATACAACTCTTTAAAGCGGGGGGGGGGTGTAAGTTGAGGATAAGAAGTTGTTTGACAGGCCAAGCCTTTCTTGGACCTATTGATGGAACTGTTTGAAAGTTGTAGCATATTCAAGGGAAAGAAATATATAGTACAGAGAAAGAGAGCGGATTTCAGAGAAAAGAAACTAGAAAATATATGGAAACATAAGTGATTCATAGTAATAGGAAGAAAACTAGATGGAACAAATCTGGAATTGGGCACAAATGAACGAATTTATTTAGGTATGGTGATGCCAGTGAGTAAGAAAAACCAGGGATTCTCAGAGTAGATAGGGGAAAAAAATGAAGGAAAAGGTAGGGGGATGAGTGATGTATAGTGTTGGCTGCCTTAATCTTATGTCTTTTTTCAATATTATTAAACATGTTCTCTTGGATTAGATAATTCTGAAAATAATCTGTTATCATTTTTGGAAAAGATATGTTTGAAAAGAATAATCCTATGCTGTTCCTAATCAAACCCTTACATCTCTCTCTTGCTCCCTCATGTAAAACTGGTTGATTTAAGGATTAAATTGTAACTTCTGGGTTGCTAACACACTAACAACATACATTTTTCTGTCAGCATTTAGAAATAGGAAGGAGTAAAAACTGGCCAGTTGATTAGTCAGGAAGCCAAATTGGCTGGCTACATGCCATATTTGTTTCCCAGAAGGAGTTTTGCAGAGAATGCTGGCTGTTTTCGTATCTGTTGGTAGAAAGTTGATGTAACTCTTCATTATACTTTTCTGTATTTGAAATGTGAATGTATAACTTTTTGTGCAAGTTAACCAGATTCTTAGATTAAGATACAAACCAGATTAAACCGTTATATGTATATGGGGGCAGGGTACTGTCCTTAGAGATCAGTTCTGTGATTCTACAAGACCATTTCCAAAGTTTCCTTTCAGGTTATTTCTCATTGCTAAAGCAGTATAGTTTATGCCATTTCACCGCCATATTGGATCAGTATTTATTGTTTGTTTTTAATGGGCATTGCCTGGCATGTTAAAAATGCTCTTCTATAACTAAAAACGAAGCAGAAATAATTTTTGTTTTAAAAAAAATGTTTCCTGTTTAAATACAGAAGCATAATTTAAACGATTTATTTAATTATAAAAACATTAAGGTATGATGAATACTATGGTTTAATATTCTAGCTTAGAATATATAACTAATTTAATTCTTTGAATAACTTGATTTCTTACATGGAAAAAAACCACCTAAGTGAAATGTCAGTGGATTTTTAACAACCCTCTTCTTTTTAAGGATGGAATGCCTTGCTTTTTCGAGCACACTCTCATTAGTATTTCACTGTGCTGGTTTTCAGGAAGGCACTGTAATTTTTGATAGAAAAAGGTGATCATGAACATACATGCCTTGTTACTATTTAAATTATGCAGATTCTTGATGCTGTGAAAATTTGTGCCTGATGACGCCAAGGCAGCTGCACGTTGTTAGCATTGTAGGCTGTCAGATGATCATGTGGGATTCTTGCAGTATGCAACATTCAATAGGATTGAAAAGGGCTTTTGATGCAAGGCATAGCTTCTGAATATATTTGTGCCTTTTAGCTCCTTACTACAGCAAACCAAGCTCCCTTTAAATTTTAAAATGCTGCCTCATTTTTCTTCTGGTTGGTTTCATTTTGGCTTCACTAGAAGATGCATCTGGTACATCTACGATTGAGGAGTTTATTAATGCTACTGTTGTTCAGTTCACTTTCTTTTCTGTTAGACTCCTAGCTAGCACACAAGTGACATGATCACACATTTGTTCAGCCACCACCATGCATGGTTTCTCTCTCAGCCTTCCCTGCATTATTCCCTCTGTTAAGTTGCACTGTCATGTTCTCCTTTGCTATTAAGCCTTGTTTCTGTCTCTTTCCTTCTTCTGTTGTTTGCTATGACATTTTACCCATGTTTGGTTACTGCACTTTTATTTGATTAACTGGCTGTGATGATGATGAACCTGCACACTGGAGGAGCAGCTACTACAGTGGTGATGAAGGGATGTAATAATGGTCGCTATCCTCGGAATTCTCTCTACAGTGACTGCATTATAGAAGAAAAGGCAGTGGTCCTGCAGAAAAAAGACAATGAAGGATTTGGGTTTGTGCTCAGAGGGGCCAAAGGTATGTGGATTTTTTGTATCTGTGTGATTGGGTGAGTGCTTATGTGAAAAATGGCATGCATTTCTGAAAATAAACAGGCATTATTCCTTATGCCTTTGGTTGCTAGACAACAGTGTTCTCTCTGTGCAGTAGAGTACCAATATGGATTTACTGGTTTCTGATTGAGCAGTTTTGAGAGGTGTGTGTGTGTTCACATAGTGTATGTTTGTGTGTATGAGAGAGAAAGAAATAATTGATTTGCAGATTAATTCAGGGAAGAAGTTGCCTAAATATTTTGTATGCCTGTAACCATCCGTGCTGAGGAAAAATAATAACATTGCTTCATATAAGGAGTTATTCCACTAAAATGATTTGCTAGTTGAAGGGGCATGTTGACTTTTTCCTTGAAATGGGTTTGTAGCTTGTTCAAAGTAAAACTACTGCAGCTTTAGGAAGAAAATCAGATCATTTTTGTATTTTCATAAGCTGCATGCATGTCAAATGGCCTTTTAGCATGTATACTGTTTTGAAGACTGCTTGTGTCTAAATGTGCCATTTCTTTCCTATGCAAAAACTGTTTCAGTAGATTTATATAGCAAATATTTTTAATGTGATCTGTTTTATTCCTTTGGCAATTTTTATTAAGTGGTGGTATATCCCAGTGCCTGCTACTAACCTCCCCCTCCCAGTTAATAAATGGGCTGTTCCTCAGATTGCTGTCTTCAAGGAAAGGCTAGACCATATATACCTTATGGAGGAATCTCCACACCCTTGTCTAGGAATACCATTTTATCATTCCTCACTAGAGTGTGGCGAACACCTATTGGGTTTCCCTAGCTATGTAACAGATTAACTCTCCTGGCTAAACATATGTTTTGGTGGGGTCGTCTGGAAACCCAGTGACTTCATCACTGTGTCGATCAGCTGGCGCTGAGCTATCTATGCAGCAAAGAGAGGTCCCTCACTATACATCTTAATTTCACATGGAGTGAGTTCTTCAGGTGAAATATTCAAGTACCCATTGAAAACATATACTTATTTCAAGCTGTATTTTTTTTTCAACAAAGGTGGTTTAATTGTTAAAACTATACATGGGAAGCATAAAGTATGTATATGAAAATCAGACAGAATATGTGTCTGATACACAAATACAGTATCATCCTGTTGGGTTTAATGGCTTTATACCATACTGAGTGCTAACTATGCAATTAGCTGCTTGAATACTTGAAATTCGTGGTGTACATGTATGAAGATTTAAAATACTATTTTCAGATGTAGTCTCTACATTATCAAATTCATAGCTTCTTGATGTTTATTAGCAATTAAAAGACAGAGCTTTATTCATTTGCTGACTAAACCTAAGAGATGATTAATATGCAAGAAAATAGGAAGATATGGCAGGGGAGTGTTTTAGTTAAAGGCTTTCTGGCCTTGTAACAAGCAGTACTTTATGAAATAAGATTTTATGTTTTAAAAGTTCATTCAAATATGTCATTTATTATTCCCAAAGCTGATACACCAATTGAAGAATTCACTCCAACGCCAGCCTTTCCTGCTTTGCAGTACCTGGAATCAGTTGATGAAGGAGGGGTAGCATGGCAAGCTGGCTTGAGAACAGGAGACTTTTTGATAGAGGTAGGAAAATATGGTTAATTATTGTAGTGGTGATGGAAAATAGTATCCCAGTTCAGGGAAACTAATCTTTCTGCCTATTGGCAGCAAGACTTATTCAGCAGTTTGATGCCATTATTGTTTGCATATTTTTCTTGATTACCTTATTCTAATCCTATTTTTTAAACATTTACACAAGTTGTATGACTACAGATGTGTTAAATTCTAGACAATACATTGTGTTACATGTGAGAAGCCTCCAGAAGAGTGTCTGTTAGATTAATTCCTTTTTCTGTACTTTGGGTATATTTAATTTTAAAAATAAATGAGTTGATGCATAGTACATAATGCTGTGTCTAAAAATAGGTTTTAATTATTAGCTTCATAAATCATATATTTGGCAGCAAGTAAGGGCCAGGTAATATTTTGCTGCAGAGATACTAATTCCATTTTTATGATGGTATGATGGCAGAGACTCTGATATTTCTTCCCCCAGCATTATTGGAAACTTTTGTACATTCATTTTAATGACAGATATCCTGTAGTTTGATTGGTTTTTATCACTTGAAAGAGAAAAATGCATCAAATTATTAGGCACCAGGGAGTAAGAAGGGAGCAGAATTTTGTTGGGTATCTGATTTCAAAAGTTTATTTTCAAATATATGATATAAAAACTTAGGGTACTTGTTTTTCTTAAGTTTGTACAATAACTGACACCTGGACCAGTACATTTTAGCCCATTCTCTTAGTGGCAGACCAGATTTCAAAAATAGAAACAGTGAGCTTTCTTATTTCTTAATATTAATTTTGGACATCTATATTTGCATTTAGCTGATGTACAGCCCTTTGTGCTCTTGGCTATGTTGATTTTAGCATTATATATTGGAATAAAATGTATTGGAAGTTTGCTCTTTCTGTTTGTATAATCTCTGCATAATTTGTTTTCGACATTTTGCATAGTATTGATTTGCATGTTGATCGTCATAGTCAATTTGTTATTTAGAGAGTTTATTTGGGAGATTATTGCATGGATATCAAAGTTTAAACTTCAGCTTCAAGGGCATTTTAATGCTTAGTCATTGTTCATAATGCAGTAACCAACTACATGTGTATAACAGAACATACACCAAAGGATTCACCTATGGTGATCATGATTTAAATACTTGATTAGGCAGACCTGAAAGCTGAACATGGCCACTTATATTTTGAGACTTTTTTCTCAAACATTTAAAGTATTTTGGGGTGTCCTGAGGTTTCAGAATGAGTTTACCATGAGGAACGGATAGACTGCTGCTCAAGAAACATAAGCTCCAAACCACTTTCTATCATGAAGTTGTTAAATGTGTTTTTGGATGCTGGCTAATGTCACAAACTGTAAGTGTACGACAGCATTGCAGTGATACCTCTGTGGTGTTGCTAGAAGATATAGAGGAACAATTATCTAGGGTTAGGGTTCAGTAAATTATAGAATGATAAACTTGGAATTTACAAGGTTTAGGAAATCATATTGGGCTTTGCACAGTGTAACAGATTTTTTTTTAGTTTTACAAACAAGTGCAAAGATTAATAATGCTGAAGTTGTATGCAATACAGGTCTCGTCTCGTGTCAGAAATGCAGGAACTGGAAGGGAGATAATTATTAATTTAAATTTTAAAAAATTAAAAACTTTAATAAAAATATAGATTTATATAATTCTTGTCCAATGCCAGGCCACGTTGATGACAGGTGAAGATATATTTATGTAAATCACCAAAAATAAATTAGGCATTGATTTAAATAAAGTTTCCTGTTTTAAAGTTCATTTACTTCTTGAACAAGCAAGAATACTGTAACTTGAAATAAAACAATTTTTAATTTTCTTTCAACAGAATTTTATTCAATCTAGAAACTTAATTTAAACTTTTGGTTATGCAGATTCATATGTCTTTTCAGCTGCACATTAGATCTTTTTGGGAATGGGTGTTTTCTTTCAGCAGTATTATGAAACATGGAGGGATGTTGTATTGAGAGACAGTATATAAACTTTTTTCACTTTAGTTTGTATACGTGCAACAAGTAAGCGAGCAAAATGTGTGCTTGGAGGATAAGGCTGCAATGTTTTGCATGTTCATTTGGAAGTAAAGCTTATTGGAAACAATGACATCTAAGTAAACTTGAATAGAATTATCAAGTATTCAGAAATCTCTGGAACAAATGTTTCCCTTTGAGATGGAATATAAATGTCTGCACTGTGTGGTTGGCAGAGTAATAAATTATCATAATTTGGGAACTGAACAACACTCTTTGCAATTCAAGTAACTGAAAGCTATAAAACTAAAGTAGAAATTCAAACTCACCCAGATGGGCACTGTGACTGATCATAGGCATGATCAGGGAGCATCTCTCAGACATTATTGCCTGTGAAGATTTACAAGTTCCTAGCTCTCAAACCCAGAATAATATATCATATTGTATAATTTTGTAATGTTTTACCAAAGAAGTCTGAGTTTTCTTTTTCATTTAAAAATGCCATTACTTTAAAGTTTTGTCAGATTTCTGTTAATTTTAGACATCATCTCTAAGGGCCATAGTGCAGTATATTTCTATTCATGTAATAGGACCGCTTATTTCTGTTCTCTTTCTCCCCACCCCCCCAAAATCACCAGTGCATTGCATCACTAAAAATGCCCCAAATCTGCTCTGGATGACCTCTAATTTTTATAGCAGATCTCTGGGGAAAAAGGGAATCTGTTCCAATGCATCACCGAAATATAACTTTCACCAGCTGGTTACCTTTGGATGCAGCCCAGGATATTAATGCTTTTGTCTAGTATACAATTCGGATTTTCTGTTAAGCCCGGTTATTTTTAAAGACTGCTAACATAACCGATTTTTAAAATAAGTCTGCATGTTACAATTTTTCTCTGTTCCGACAACAGAACTCTGAAAAGATCAGCCACTTCAGCCATTTTTTAAATGAGAACATACCAAAAAATTGGCTGAGTCAGTCTGTCTTTGGCAGCGGAAGAAAAACGACTGGCCGTCTATTTCACAAGCAAAACCTGTTACACGAGCCCACATAATGCCCATGATGAGATGATCAATTGCCTGCACTTTTAATTACCACATTAAAGTTATACAATATTAATTATATCTTGTAAAATAGGAGTCATGAGCATTATCATTTAAATAAATTTGTTAATGAAGGATAGTTCTCTGAATTCACAGCTTTTCTGCTAGTATACAGTTAAGGAGGTTGCTTGGATTTTTTTTTTTAAAATGCATACATGTTTTATCCGAGAAACAATTATTTTCAGTAAGAAGAGTAAGTAAGGTTCACATATTCTTTTCACTGCTGCAGAATCTGATTATGATAATGTTGGTAGTGGCTGGCCTTACTGCTTGTTGCCAAGTAATAGAAAATCTTCAGTGACTCAGATATTTACAGTATTATATGCTTGCCCTCCACCTCAGGGATATGGCTGGAGTGCCATTATTGTGAAAGAAAAGTAGAATCTTTGATAATTTGATATTGTGTTATTTCATCCAGATTGTTGAATGCTTATCTTGGAACTTTTAAAATACATTTTTAAAAAACAGAATTAATTTCCAATTATTGTGATTTTATAATAAAGGTTTATTTCATGAGTTTTCTTCAGAAGGTTTCCTTGCTGATTCAGAAATGAAGTTAAAAGCATGAGTTATAAAAATAAAACATAGACATTGTGTTTGTTAAAACAGCACCAGAGTAGAACCAAAACCAGAATAAAAACTTTAAAAGCCTGTGAGTCTTCAGTAACAGTGTCTTCAATTGATACTGCAAAGTTTACAAGATAAATGCCAGTTAAGTTTCTCTGTGGAGGACATTCCACAAGTGTGGCATCTGTTAGAACAGCTTCCTTCTCTGGTGACCGTGTCACTTATCTTTGTGCACAAGAAGTCTGTGGTAGTGTCTTTTTGACCAGCAGAGCGAAGGGCTTCTTTCTGACAATCTTACTAGCTGGTTCTTGAGACCAGTTTGTGCTTAATGTGACAATTATGTCTGACTACATATTTATAGCAAATGTGTATATCATTAATTATAAGTGTTGTTCTGCAGGATCAGCCAGTCAAGGCTTCCAACTATATATAAATGATTTTCCAGAGTTAAGTTCAGCATGTACATATAAAATAGACACTAGTCACTCAGGCAGACTTCTCAATTCTTGGTTCATTCTCAGAAGTCAGTTCTGCTAGTTTAGATGTATGTCAGTACTTCTGTTTTGTGATTTTTCTGAACTTTGAATTTTATGCTTTTTTTTTTTGTAATGAAGCTTGCTGGCAACACTGTCCTATTTAGTGCAGAGAGCCAAAGTGCTATAGACATTTTTTAAACATCTGCTTAAAAATCATTCTTCTTGTATCTGGATTTGCTTTTTAATTTCATCAGTGTGGGAAGTTTTTGCTCATTTGTCTTTTATATAGAAATATTTGGCTTTGAAAAAATTCTCAATTCTCATGCACACCATCTTCTTTCTTTCTTAGTTTTGTTTTGTATGCATGCTGTTTGTCAATTGAATGCAAAAAGCCACTGTGACTGCTGAATGACTTAGCAAGCCACATCTAAACTGTTATTTACCTGGAAATGTAAAAATTAAATATACTTATGTTTCTTAAAATACATATGAGAGCCAGTTTGATGTAGTGGTTAAGGCACCAGGGTAGTGTTTAAGTCCTACCTTAAACACAAAGTTGGCTGAATGACTTTGGGCTGGTCACTCTCAGCTCTAGGAAGAAGGCAGTGGCAAACCACTTCTGAAAATCTTACCAGGAAAATGCCAGGAGTCAAGATTGACTTGAAGGCACAACTCACCCACCCCCCTAGAGTTAAAATCCTTGAACTCCATGGTATGCAGCTCTGCCCTGATAAAGATATACTACATTTATATTTGCCAGTTCTGATGCATCCTCTTCTTGCTGGGGATATGGGCCGGACTGAGTCCAAGATGCACACTTTTTATTAGCAAACATCTCCACTGAAATGTCTAACGTATTGGTAAATTTT